GCGGCCATTGCAGTGAATTAAGGAACCCTGCTGAGAAGTAGAATGCTTTCAGAGGAAGTTAGAATTGGTAAGGAAGATTGGAGAGTGGAGCATGTCTGACCTCAGCCTCATAGGAATCCACCTCAGGCTGATGCCGATGGTGACACTCGTTCTTCCTCCTGTGAACTCAAACCCAGTCCATACGCCACGTTTTATAGGAGCTGAAACCTAAATGTATGTCTTTCTCCCTCTGACACCTAAATAATTGTTCTAGCTGTCTGCAGTTCCTGCATGTAGGACTGGTTCATAGGGTCCTAGCTGGTTCATTTCTTTCGTACTAATTGTAGAATGAAGGAGCTCTGGTAACATAGTGAATTATGAGGTAGGCTGCTAACTGCAGGGTTAGCAGTCGTATCTACCAAGTTCTCCATGGGAGAAAGATGAGTCTTTCTGCTTCCATTAAGAAGAATACTAAAAGTACCACAGACTGCTAGAAGAACAAACAAATCTGATGTGTGTTGGAAAAGTACAGCCAGAATGCTCCTTAGAATTCAATATGGTAAAGACTTTGTTTCTCCTACTGCAGACATATCATGAGGGACCAGTCCCTGGAAAAGGACATCATACTTGGTAAATTGGAGGGTCAGCAAAAAAGAAGAAGACCCCACAAGATGGACTGGCACCATGGCAGCAACAATGGATTCAAACTTAACAAAAATTGTGAGGATGGTGTAGGACCGACTCCACAGCATGCCACCACCACCAACCACCAGCACGTTTGTCCACAATAAGGAGGTGAAGTTAAGAGCAGGGAAGTAACTACACATTAGGGCCTTATTTAGCAATATTACAGTGTTACTGATACAGAGTCCATGCAGGGAAGTTGAATATTCTCATTAAAATTGTAGCCTCCAGAAATGTAATTAGGAAAATACTAATTAAATTACATACTGGACTAACATTTTCCAGATATCACCTCTTCCACTTCGGGAGGTTGGTAACAACTCTGATTAATACAGATGTGCTCCTTCCTACCACTGCCCATGGCTCGGATGTCAGGTGACCACTGTGTATGACAAGAGGCAGGAGTAGGGTGGGGGGACTCAAAACATGGACCATCAATCTTTAAGATTTTACATTAAAAAACTGTATACAAGTCTTTGCCCACTATTTTGCCATATAAAGACTTAAAAAATTTTTTTGTTGTTGTTAGGTGCCATCGAGTTGGTACCAACTCATAGTGACCTTATGCACAGCAGAATGAAACACTGCCTGATCCTGGGCCAACCTCACTATTGTTGTCACACTTGAACCAACTGTTACTGCCACTTGACCAATCCAATCGCTTGGGATCTTCCTCTTTTTTCTGACCCTCCACCTTAACAAACATGATATCCTTCTCCAGTGACTGGTCCCAAGTATGTCCCAAGTATGAGAGATGAAGTTTGGCCATCCTGGCCTCTAGGGAGCACTCTGGCTGCACTTCTTCCAACACAGATCTGTTGGTTCTTTTGGCAGCCCATGGCACTTTCAGTATTCTCCTCCAACACCATAACTC